CTGTGTGTGCGTGCGTGTGTGTGTGTGTCTGTGTGTGCGTGCGTGTGTGTGCGTGTAAGAGTGCGTACGTGCGCGTGTGTGAAGCCGTGGGAAAAGCTTTGGGAATAGCCTTGACCGCAATATAATATCGTCGCACCATCTATCGGGAAAAATAAGCTGACATTGTCACAGCATTGTTTAGTTAATGCACACCAGCCCGTCCGTGCGTATCATAAACACACAAGTAGTACATAAGTAATAATAGTACAAATATAAATAACATATTAGTATAATAGAACTATGTTTTTGAGTACATGTTGTTCCTATAAATTTCTCTATGCTACAACACAATTCACACCAATGTTACAGTGACAGTACATAATGCTGACACAACAGGCCCACTTAAAAATAACTTTACCGACACATGTCGCTACGAAGATAACACACAGATAACAATTATATCACAATCATACATACCATCAGGGGTTAATATTATAATGGGAATTATTTGTCATTGTTAGCCCCCTGCTACCATATACATACATAAAATACATAACATGCGCAAATAGCCATGAATAACATACATATCCATGCGTTACATACATAACATACATGCAGAGCGATACACAAACAGCGTACATAGCAAAGCCATGTCAAGGTTGGGGGTTTTCCTGAGGAAACTTTCCATGTGAGCACCTCTCTAACCCGAGCGTAGTAAGCAATATATATATATATATATATATATATAGTCACATCTGGTGAATATGAAGTCAGGCGGCGTACAATACTACTTCTAGTTTTCCCCATATAGCTTCCTAACATTGTCAACCTCCAACTCTATATAATCTCCTAAATGAACTCCCAAGCACATCTATCCTCCCCAATAATTATAACACCCGCGTAGAAGCAAGCGTAACTTTGGCAGGCGAATCCTGCTACATAGAAAAGCAACACGGATGAAGTAGGAGATGATGAAGGAGCACAGAGACAATAACAATAGCAGCCGTGGATGCTATCATTCCCTGTCAACTCGGCTGGCTCGCAACACCCAGAACATTCAACCCGGCAATCAAGTGCGTTATCCATTAGACTGCCCCCCACGCCCCTACCTCTACCTCACTGTCACTGTGGGTGCTATATGTCACTATATTGTATTAGGGAGGTATCAGCTAGTGTGTGTTATATGACCACGTTCTTGTCGGGCGGAACTATAACGTTTTATACCTGCCACGCTCATGGGGACGATTGGTGTCCAGAGTTTGTTGCTCCGTATAAAACCGCATTACAGATGTTATTATTACCCCGGGATTAAAACACTGGGGCACACACGCCAGGGCCGTAGCCTACGGAGGGGGGGGGGGGGAAGGTGGGCAGCTGCCCCCCTAGATTTTGGAGCAAATAAAAAAAAAATTTCTACTAAAAGAGAATTGTCGTAGTCAGAATGAAGGCTGTACATGTGCTCAAAAGTGCATCAAATACCATTTCCTGCGATCTACATTTTCTAAATTTTCTGGGGGGAGGATCCCCAAATCACCCACATGTTTCCCACCCATCCTTGAAATCCTGGATCCCTCACTTCCCCCCCTAGGGATTTGCTCAGCCTACGGCCCTGCACGCTGGTTAGCAGGCTACACACTAACACTCACCAAGCACGCCACCGAGAGAAAGACAATCTAACAAGCATCAAGGAGAGAAACGCTCACAGCTCAGACTACAGACTGACTACATGCGGTCCGTACGTACGTGACTACTTACTACTTACTAAGTACTTACTAGTTACTACTTACTAAGTACGTACGTTACTAAGAGACATTCGCACCCAACACGTGGGAGATTTTTAAAAACCTCGAAACACAAAACACGATCCGTCACAAAGCGTCGCGATATTCAAGGCAAACGAACAACAAAACATGTCACACGCACACGCACGCACGCACAAGCACACGCACGCACACGCACGTAAGCACGCACGCACGCACACACACACACACACACACACAAACACATACACACACACACACACACACGCACACACAACAACAACAACAACAACAACAACAGCAGCAGCAGCGGCAGCAACAACACCAGGGCTAACGTGTAACAACGATCATACCTGCCAGCCGCGGAAATGCTTGGCCACGGCTGTGACAGCGAGTTGCATGGTAGTGAATTCCAGACGTGCCTACAGGTGGCGCCAGAAGCATGCGCACAGATTCATTACTACACACATGCGAGATGCAAAGGTATAATATACATGTACACATATGTGCGCAAAGATCGATGCAATACGTGCAAATCAGACAAAAAACCCGATATACAATGTTTGCAATCCAACAACAACTACTCCGTACGTATAACGAAGAGCAGGGGCGGATCCAGAGCGTTTGGGTGACCAGTTTCAATATGTTCTTCTGCAGCTAGGGGGGTCCGGGGGCATGCCCCCCCCGGTAATTTTTTTAAAATTAGGCTATATTTATTGCATTTTGGTGAATTTTGAGGCCTGTGACCGGTTTCTGGAAAC